CCCATCCCACTATTAGTATGATATGGTGTGTGTACTTCTTTGCTTGTACTTGATACGGCTGTGATCATGCCTGATCTAGCCGGCCTCGGTGATGTCCCGAACTGTACCTCTCCACGCGTGACGATCCGCGACAGCAGATATCGACAGCTCAACCCACCCCCTTCGCCAACGACGTAGATCAAATACCGAAGATCCAAGAACCACCTCCATGTCTTGACGAACTGTGCCGACCCAGGTTTTGAACTGACCCCCTCTTCGACGCCTCCAATGGGACAACGGTGCCGGATCGAGGGCACTAACACTGAGCTTTTGAGGTGGACGACAAAGAATATGCATAAAACCACCTCAGTCGTTTTTCTGGGATGAGCTGGATTATTCTTGCGATGTTGTCGATGCGAATGCTCGACCTCATTTGATACGAAATCGGTGTACTCCACTCGAAGGCTGGTCCTCAAGCAGTGGTAGTCAAATACCTCCAGTTTTTGCTCGTCCTCCTTGCGCAAAGTCCAGCATTCACAACCGTAGAGAAGGACAGGCCGGACAGATACACGGTACACGCGAATCTAAGTGGCGATGAAAAGGTCACGTCAGATCCATAGACGTTTTCGAAGGCTTGAGAAAACCCAGCGGGCAGCATCGATTCGGGAGACAATGTCGTCCTTACTCGGTCCATTAGGCAGCAGCCTGGGCCCGAGGTATTTAAAACTGCCTACTTCTTCAAGTTGACAGCCATCAATTCTGAGGGGTGCCTTCTCCTGTTCAGGGATGCAGCTTGAAAACACTTTGGTCTTCCCAGCGTTTATGGATACACCGACCGATTTAGCGACCTCGTTCATCCGTGACACCATAGACTGCAGATCACCAAAACTTGAAGCAAGTAAGGTGATATCACCGGTAGTGTGTGATAGATGCGACGTAAGTCTTCTCTGGTATAAAACTTCATTCGCAAGTTACCTCTGAGTCCTGTCTTTGCGGGTTTTACATCTCGTGGCTCATAAATCTGGAGATAGCGGACATGAGCCTTGGTTTTTTAACAACTTGATTTACATTAAAGCTGCTGTCTCACGACTAGCGTCGACTTTTGTCCTGTGAAACTGTGGCACAGGTCCATTTAATTTCCAATGACTAAAATCACGCGTCAGTACGATTGTTTGTCTCATTTCACTAGCATATGCCGCTAGAATCTGCCGAGAAAATGCTTGGTCATCATTACGCGCCACACGATGTATTTTTTTATGGCTCATGGAGCAGATTTCTAGGCCTTTGTAAATGGAAATTGTCGAATTTTATGAGACCACAAAGGAAAGTTCGTTTACGTTACCTTGCCTATTTGGCAATCCTCCGACTGCAGGTCACGCGAACTTACGACTGGAGATATCACAAATAACGTGGTACAGCATTGCTCGTTGATGTCCAGCGCAGGGCTCTTTCAGAAAAAACAGAACCCAGTACTTGAAAGTAACGCGCTGCTCGAACAAAACCGTTCTAATCTCAAAGTGAAAATTTTGCAAGCCTGATTAAGGCAAGCAGGATCCAGATGCTTTAATTCGCGCCCTACCTGAACGTACGAACCCCTGGAAGTCTGAATCAGTCTGTCAGACCACCACGTGATTTTCTAGCATGTCCACTAGTGGCGAATAGCAAGCGTGCTTCTCAGAGGAGACTGCACGTGTGTTAATTAGACTCCCACGACGGGTTATCATTCTCATTAAATATTAACTGGAATTCCGGAATTCGTTTTCGATTAGGAAGGGTTGTCTAAGCGGCGCCTTCATAGAACTTATCATGCGGCTTAACAACGAAACGCCTCAGTCACGCCAGAATGCCGACTTTGGATCGAGCTAATATTCAGGCCGCCTGACAAAACCGTGCCCAACTCAGTAGTATATTTTTTCCCATTGATTCTTAATGCCCCTATTAATTTAAAGATATTTTACAGGAAGCGTGCAGTAGAATACCGTTTTTCGAACCCAAATGAGAGAAACTCAGTCTTTTGCAAACTTGATGTGGAAAAGATGTATGTTGGTCTTAGACAGCCTCTCGGTTCCGAAACATGTCGAAGCCCATCTGATGCTGCAGTTGCGTTTGACATTTAAAAATACCAGCTGTTTGCTACCCACGTAATGGAAATCATAGATATTTCCCTACATAATTAAATGATGGTACAAACTGCACATAAAATTTTTCCGTGCATGTGGATTAAATTATATATATATATATATATATATATATATATATGAATAACTGAAGTGGTATGCATTCCGAGGTGATATGATGAAAGAAGAAAGTCCGTCGGAAATAGAGTTTTACTCGTATATATATATAGATATATATATATATATATATTATGATAGTGGGCGCTCACCGATCAGGTTACGGAACATGCTCGTTCCGTTGTGCCTTGGGGCTCATACTTAAACCCTCGCAGGCAGTCGCACAGCGACTAGTGATATATGTTGAGAAGGTGATACCGACAAAGACAAGGGAGACCGGAATGGCCATTTCTGGCTTATTAGCCGTCATCAGCCAGTCATACCCAACCCCAAGTGTGGATCACTTGAGATTCGAACCCGGGATCTTTGGTCATGTAGTTGAACGCTCTACCATTGAGCCACCTTCTCAACATATATATATATATATATATCGCGTTCATCATCTCCCGAAGAAGACGAAGAAGAAGAGAGGGCGAATTCATGGACCATATTGTATTCGAACTGACGTTTCGGAAACTTCCTCGTTTCCATCATCAGAGTAGCGTAGTTGTTGCACTTGCCGATCTTGAGTTGTTCAGTCTTACTGCTTGCCTCGTATTATAGCCGTGCTGGACGCACGAACTTTGACCTGCCTGTTTGCCGCTGACTGGCTTAGACCTCCCCGGGGCTGACCGCTGACAGGCCTGCGTGACCTTTGTTCCCTTTGGGGTCGGCGTAATTGTGGTCAAATCGACGTGCCGCTTGGCCTCTCCCACGTCAGCCGGTGGACTGATCGGTCGTTGCTGTTCAGTTGAGCAGCATTCAGCTTCGCGGGCGCGTCGGTGAGGCAGTGTTCGGCTTTGGTCACATAACCTCTGGCCCCCAATTCCGCTCTTTTCCGTGAGCGTTGACTTCCCGCGTGCTCGCTTGCCTTACTGGTCCTGTCCGGACTGATCCGAGCCTTGTACGCAGCGCCTGATAGGCGGGATGTAGATCTATAGCTCGGTTGAGTGTACCAGTCGAGGACCAACTTTCGAGCACCAGTCTGGCCATCTTTTCATTGGCTCTGCCAATTACCCTCGCTTTCTCAAAGGCAAAATCGTGGTTCAGTTCTCTTATGTGGCCATAGACCAAAGACAGCTTGTCCTTGCGGTTGATTGCAAGTTGGTGTTCGTGCAATCTTGTACCGAGGCGTTTGCCCGTTTCACCAACATACCTCGCATTGCAATTTAGGCATGGTATGCTGTAGACCACCGCCGACTGTTCTGTTGTTGGTAGCGGGTCTTTGGGCTTCATGATTTGCTGTCTGATGGTGCATTCTGGTTTATGAGCCACGCCAATCCCAAAAGGTTTCAGGATTCTTGCCGTTGCCTCTGATACGTTCTTCACATAGGGTATTGAGAGCCAGAACTTGGGCATTTCTCCACTCGACCGCTCAAAATGAGGCTTTTTGAGGCAATTGCATATGAAGGACTTCGGGTAGCCGTTGGCTTTAAAAAGGACCTGCAAGTAATTCATCTCCTCCTTCCTCCCACTGTCGTCGCTACAGTGTGTTTGAACGCGTTGAAAGAGAGTTATGACAGAACTGCGTTTATGACCAACAGGGTGGTTGCTTCGGAAGTGGAGGATGCGCCTGGTATTTGTTGCTTTACGGTAAACCGTTGTCCTTATCGTCCCGTCTGTCAATCTCGTGACTTGTACGTCCAGGAAGAGCAACTGATTGTTGACTTCCTCTTCCATAGTAAACTGAATATCGGGAAAGATGGAGTTCAACAATGCCTTGAAAGCCTTCACCTCGCTCCCTTTGATTACAACGAACGTGTCGTCGACGTATCTGGCCCAGAACTTCGGGGGGTACGAGCTAAAGACCTGCTGCTCGAGTCTCTGCTAAACTGCTTCGGCAATTAGTCCAGACAGAGGCGAGCCCATCGGTGTCCCCTTCTTTTGCTCGTAGACTTGGCCGTTGAATGTAAAGAAGGTCTTAAGACACAGTTCTAGGAGCTCGATGATGTGTGCCCGTTTGAGCTGTTGGTCGGTTTCATCATACTTTTCCCGGAGAAAGCCATCAATAGTGTCGATAGCCAGCGCGGGTGGGATGGAGGTGAATAATGAGATCACGTCAAATGACACCATCACCTCATCTGCCTCCACTTCGAGATGTTTGATGCGCGTCAAGAACTCTTCAGCCGACTTCACTGTCCACTCCGAATCCTTGGTAAGGAAATAAAGTCGTTGGTACAGCCACTTTGACAGCCCAAAGGTTGGAGTACCACGTAAGGAGACGATGGGGCGTAGAGGCACCCCCTGCTTGTGGACCTTTGGTAGGCCGTAGAAGCGCGCCATCGCGGTATCACTGGCTTTTGCGGCCAACGCCTCCCTTCTCGTAAGAGCTCCCGCCTTCCTCAGCTTGCCGATCGTATTGTTTATGCTGCTTACGAGCTTTTTAAACTCGCTGACGGTCGATGGCACATAAGCTTCCTTGTCCATTAAGAGGTTGCCTAGTTTTGTGCAGTACTCAGCCTTATCCATGACGACAGTCGAGCGCCCCTTTTCGGCGGGCAGGGTGACGATATCCTTCATTTTTCGTATCTTCAGAAGTTCTCGATCTTCTGCTTTAGAAATCGTCATCTGGCGTTTGTGTTGGAGGAGTAAGGTCGACGCTTGTTGTCGCATGACGTTTTTGAACTGCTCGCCTGCCTCACACTTCTGGAGCGCCGATTCAAAGGATGCAATGCATCATCAACTACGCTACTCTGATGATGGAAACGAGGAAGTTTCCGAAACGTCAGTTCGAATACAATATGGTCCATGAATTCGCCCTCTCTTCTTCTTCGTCTTCTTCGGGAGATGATGAACGCGATACAATGTCTGGACCTCGAATCTTTACGCATATCGATATATATATATATATATATATATATATATTATGATGATGATGATGATGATGATGATGATGATGATGATGATGATGATGATGATGATGATGATGATGATGATGATGATGATGATGATGATGATGATGATGATGATGATGATGATGATGATGATGATGATGATGATGATGATGATAATAATAATGGGTGCTCACCGATCAGGTTACGGAAACGGCTCGTTCCGTTGTGCCTGCGAGGGTTCTAGTATGATCCCCAAGGCACAAGGGAACGATCATTTTCCGTAACCTGACCGGTGAGCGCCCACTATCATAATTAATATTCCCGATCACAACCGACAAGACAACGGGCCCGTGGCTCAATGGTAGAGCGTCAAACTCCATGACCAAAGATCCCGGGTTCGAATCTCAAGTGATCCACACTTGGTGTTGGGTATGACTGGCTGATGACGGCTAGTAAGCCAGAAATGGCCATTCCGGTCTCCCTCTTCTTTGTCGGTACCATGTCATGTATATATATATATTTCATAATTTATTTCATAATATATTTCATATATTTCATATATATATATATATATATATATATTTCATAAGGAACATTTGCGAGCGGACGGGCGAATGCGATGCCATTTGGATGGACATTTCACAATTGTAAAAAGTTCACCGTTGAGAACGGCGGAAAAGTCAAAGATTCCACTTCTTCTGGTAGGGCATGTAAAGTAGGCTTCATGTCTCAGCATTTAGGTGCAAGAAAAGATATTTCCATGCATGTTTACTGTAAAATGTATTTAAGCTTATGATTGTATCAAAAACCAATGCAAAAACATCACCTTACCGCGGTGGACCTCTTTATCCAGTATACGTTTTTAATTTCGATTAACACTTAACGAGATCTGTAGCCTACTGTACGTTAACTGGAACCAACACTTTGCAGTTGTGGCTACGTGCATAGCAACAATGAACACGAAACGCGTGCAGAAAGAGGCCATGTCTGACCAACTACCGTAGGTGGGTTAACTCACGAAATGTCAACTGAAATTCCGAAATGCGTTTTTGTTTCCAAAAAATTATTTGAGTAGGATTGTAAAACTGATCACCGAACAACGTAATCCTATTAAAAATTCAGTTACTTCAGGATGCCGACATTTGATCGAACTCCTTTACGATTGCATGAAACAACTATACTCTGCAAAAATAACTACTTTAAGTAGCATGTCTTTACCTCATTGATTGTCAATTATATTTCATGGAAAACATGCATGAAGAGATTCATTCTCCTGCTAATTCGTTAGAAAATTGCGCCTTCTTTCAATTTGATACTCAAAGGAAGGGTATAATTCGGTTTTAAGCACTTCCAATTCCCGAATGGCTTTGAACCCAACCTGCCGTTACACTTGTATTCGGGGTCTCCAAACCGCAAGGCGTATATTTTCCGTGTACGGGAAACCATATGATTGTCTACAGTATTAAGAGCACATTGGGTTCATGCAATTTAGCAGTAGATTTGAGCCATATTGTTAACTTTACAAGTCACATGGGTAAGTGCGGAGACATGAAGTTTTATAAACGGCAATTTCAGAGTATTAAGTCGATCTCACATCTTTGACCGCCACAACTCTTTAAAAACCGAATTATACCCTTCCCTTGGGTGTTTAATTGCAGGAGGACGTACTTTCTTACCGCATGAGCAGGAGAATGAATATTTAATGCATGTTTTCCATGGAATATAATTACATTTTTAAGGACATCGAAAGTCAATAAAACGAAGGCATGCTACTCAAGGAGTCATTTTCTAGAGTATAGTAGTTGCTTGCAGTCGGAACTGAGTTCTTTCGAAAATCGGCATTTTGAGGTAACTGAACTACAGTGAGTGACCGATCTCTTTAAATGTTGGCTTAAATTATGAAATGCGTTTTCGATTAGGAAGAATTACGTAGGCGCGGTTGTAACAGTGATATTTTGCGGAAAAATCCTATAATATTTCGGTATCCGTAGGATGTCAACTTTTGAATGCACTGCTTTTCATCCTTTCTTAGAAAATGTACTCGATGAGAAATGAATTCTTATGTAGCATGCATTTTTCACAATGATTTTCGATGATCTTTTAAATTCAAATATATCTTACATAAATCATTTGATAAAGAATCCCCTCCTCTGTTTATTTTATACTCAAAAAAGAGTATAATTTAGTTTTACAAAGGCATTCTAATTCTCAAATAATTTGAAGCCTGGTCAGTTGTTTCATTAAGACTTAGCGATTTCAGTGTATAAATGCTTGTGTTCCGTATAAAGAAAATCACATATTCTTCTATGCCTTTAAAAAGATACCATATAGAGTTCATAAAATTTTGCGATTCGTGCGGGCTATGTTTCACATTTCATGAGGGGCAGGGATAAAAGGACAGGTACGATGCTGTGTGAATGGACGCTGACGGTCTTAAAAAATTTCATATTTGGAAACATTTTTAAAACCAACTTATACTCCTCTTTCGATATAAAATAGAAAGATGTTATTCTTTATCAAATGACCGTAGGAAATCAAATTTTCTTCGCGATTTCTGCAAAATATATTTGAATTTGAAAGACCATCGAAAATCATTGTGAAAAATGCATGCCGCATAAGTGGGCATTTCTCACCGAGTACATTTTCTACAGGAGAATGTAAAGCAGTGTATTTATGAACTCACATCCTGCTGATACCGAAATATTATAGGATTATGCCGCAACATAGTCCGTATTACAACCGCGCCTATGTACTTTTTCCCAATCGAAAACGCATTTCAAAATTTCGCCAGCATTTCGAGAGATCGGTTGCTCACTGTATTACAAAATTATTCTGCACGATGATTAGTTTTACAAACCTACTTAATTAATCTTTTCGAAAATAAAACGCATTTCGGAATTCCGGTTGACATGTTGAGTTAGCCCACCTACTGTACTGAGATTATTCGACTTTTTCGTTCTTAAAATCACAAAACCAGACAAATCACTAGCAAGTTAACCGTAGAATAGTTGACCGTGTCAAAGGCCTGCTTGTGACACCCCTGGGGACATACAATCACTCGTTGGGCCTACCGTGGTTACTGGAAAAATCAGAAGAATTGTGTGCTTCTCAAAACTCCTCAGCCTGGTTAGATTTCTGAAGTCTCTAACCTCCTTCTCCTATGACCGTTCATTTTTGCGCGTCTCTGAAACAATTACACCAGTCAATCACCAAACACCTGGCTGGGGATGGGCGTTTCCATAACGCCTACAGCAAGGAGAACGAGGGTGGCATATGGGGATCGGATAAAAGTTGTCCAGTCAAACCTGGTACACAGTAAAATGACGTGACGAGACTGCCTTTGCTCACGTTGACTATAATGCTGTCCTGGAAAGGGCGAAAAACCTTCCTTTAGGAGGGCGCAGAGGCAGAGGGGGGGGGGGGTAAGGTGGACCGACTGGAAACTGTAGGCCGTCAGGTTTTTGATATGCTAGTTTTCAGTTCTCGGCAGAAGGCGGTCAAGTTTACGCGACACTTAATTTTGTCTACGCCCTACCGCCACGCTTCAGTGAAAGTGGGTGCAAGAATGTTTCATAAACAGACCGTCGTGTTGATGATGGTAAGCGCATATTCAATAGCGCTACACGACAGTGGAGAGGCGATAAATTTTAATCGTCCACATGGAAGACAACAATGTTAGCGTATGCAAACCCTACTTTCATGGGCTAAACACGATTGCCTGGTTTAAATATTTCTTGTTTGCTTCTGTTCGTTAACTAGACGTTCTACAGACCTAGATCGAGAGGAGGTAGGAAAAGTGTCCTTGAGGTTAATTGTTCCATCGAACCAGCTGGCCTGTCCGCTTCGGCCTGCGCTATGCAGCATAGTTATAGAGATGGAAAAGAAGGTTGGAATTTAAAAGCCAGCATTTATACATCAGAAATGAGCAATTAAGCCTCCATTTCCACTTACATTTACTAAAACTTGCAACTGCATCGCCAGTCAACTATCCCTTTATTTCAGACGCACAGATTCCTCTCAAAAACGGGACACGAATCCTAAAACCGCCTGTAAATCACTGACCTAGCAGTAAAATTATAATAAGACAGCTTGTTTATTGCGCAACCACGAAGTATACTCATCCTGTATTCACTTGCGAATAAAATTGAATCTGGGCCAACTACTAACTTTATTTGAAGCATTTTGTCCCCGGTACGAAGCTGAAGTAGGCAAGAACGGCAGGATTTATTGGTACCAACAAATTTCGCGACGCCTCTTCAACTGCGTCCTGTCGCTTCATAAGAGAGATAACGAGTGAGAAGAATACAACAGATTTGAATTCGTGCAGAAAATCAATGCAGAAACAGCAAGATCAGGGTTTTGGGCAAAGCTGGCTAATCGATAAAGTTAGTAACACAAACACCGTAGGGGAAGAAAGTGAAATAAAAGGGGGCAACGTTAAAGAGCAAAAAATGAGAGGAGAGAGGGAGAATTATGGATCTAGAGGCTACCATGGCAATGTTAGGTTAACCACGTGTTCCAATTGTTTACACGTGGTTAACCTAACATTGTCATGGTAGCCTCTAGGTCCATGATTCTCCCTCTCTCCTCTCATTTTTGCTCTTTAACGTTCCCCCTTTTTTTCACTTTCTTCCCCTACGGTGTTTGTGTTACTAACTTTATCGACTAGCCAGCTTTGCCTAAAACCCTGACCTTGCTGTTTCTGCATTGATTTTCTGCACGAATTCAAATCTGTTGTATTCTTCTCACTCGTTATCTCTCTAATGAAGCGACAGAACGCAGCTGAAGAGCCGTCGCGAAATTGTTTGGTACCAATAAATCCTGCCGTTCTTGCGTACTTCAGCTACTAGCTTTATGCCAGCCCCAGTAGGTTACGAACTGATGAAAGCATGATGACTGTGTAACGAACCACCGTATCGCGTTTCCCTTACCGTCAGCTCACTCCCGGCCCCTACCTGCAGTTGCCGCCAGCGTTGCATTCCCCACTGACGTCTAACTGATATGGCGTGGCCATCTCTCACTCCAAGTGGATCATCTGTACAGTACCTCATCACGTTTTTGTATTCATAATCTTCCACCATTTTCTACGCTAACGTTTATTATCGTTACATGAGCTCCATTTATTAGAGATCCCTTTCAGGTTCATCCCTATAAGCGTGTTTTATGTGGAGTTAACATCTCTGTCCAATGTTACATAACCCTGAATGTACCTCAGGCGAACTATTCGATCGGGTGTGTGCCAAC